ATCTAATGGCGTAAATCAAGATTTTTTCTACTCGCATCTAGTCTATTGATTTTATTGATTCATTCATTTTTTAATAATTTATAATTAATAATTAATTTCATAATTTTCATACTTCTATTAAGATCAATAGATCAATTTGTAATTCATTCCATACAAGCACCCAATATTTATATTATTTTCTAGGCCAGAGGAAGAAAGCGTAAAGGCACTGGTGGATATAAGAAAAAAGCAAAGAGATCCAGAACAACATCTGCCAAATCAAACAACAAGTCCACCAATAGCAGGTTAGTAATACAAATCAATTGTTTTAATGTTCGCTAGTTTAAAAGAGGAATAAATGAAGAAACACTTCCAGTTGCGATCCATTGAATGGAAGTTAATAATCAGTCAGCTGTCAGTTCATTCTATTAGAGAGGACAGCGTACAGGGAGGAGTGAAGTATGTTCCTCAAATATCACTTACAAATACTTGGATTGCAATGAATATTTTCACTTCAAAACATTTAATAAAATGATAGATCAAACTTATATATATCGTTGTTTTACAAGAATATGATGCTACAACTTTAAAACTAACTTCTAGGTTCGGAAAGATATTTCATTTCACTCGGAAAACATGATACCAAGAACAAAACAAGTGTTTGATGTGTTTTCTAGAACAATATAGATGACAGTTTATAAATATTTTTCAAATTATATTGTTACCATTCAAAGGATGACCATTAAATTGACGATGTGTTAAATTTTTAGATTTCTTTTATGACTGGTTTAAGAGAAACGTGTGTTCAAAAAGTTCTCCATATCGATACCACTCCTTTCGGTGCCGTCTTGGCACCAAATGGACTGACTAGTCCAGTGCCAAATTTTGGTTTCGAAAGGTTTCGGTGCCGGAACAGCGCCAATTGCTTTTGATGCCGAAACGGCGCCGAATTATATTGGCTGTGTATATTACTTTCATAACATTATATATTGGATGAGTAGCTCTTTGCGTGTGTCAATCATATTTAAAAGCAATTACTGATTGTGTAAACGACAATCTCTTCTCATTGTGGGTAAACACCCCATGCAGACAGATCGCCTAAAATTACATTCATGTGAGGCTCACATTCACCAGGAAAGTAGAAACATTTTGTCACCCATGATGCAAATTTATTTTTTACTTGAAAAGTAAATGTTTCTACTTTCCTGGTGAATGTCGAGTCTCGCATCATACAAATGTAATTTTAGGTGATTTGTTTGCATACGATGAAGCCTTCAGTTATGTATGATTGTCTCATAAAATTACACTACAACTTCAATCTAACTAAGGCAGGTCTCGTGGAAGTTGGGAATTACTTGTACATGTACTTTCATTTGTCATTTCAGTAGGGGTCGCTTCCAGCAGTTTAAATACCAGAAGTCTTCAGGCCCAACCGGCACAGGAACAGTTGGTGGAATCGGGGGTAGGGGCGGACAACAGAGTAGTGGCAGTGGGGGTAGGAAACCAGGCCTTCTTGGGGTCGGCCCGCTAAAGTCAAGCCGGCCTGGGATGGGAGGTTTCGTCCACATCAAGTGAAAATGCTATGGTGACCGTATGAACTCAGACTTGAATTCAAAATTCAGGGACTCGGGGACATGGAGATGAAGATTTGAAATTCAAATTGAGCTCAGAGCCTTGGTATTCAGAATGAGCTCAAGTATATCAGGTTATGACGATGGTGATGAATAATGAGCATAGCTCCTATACATGGCAGCTGACCAGGCTAAATCAGTCTCAGTGACACACCATGTCAATGTGAATACAGGTACACTTCAAAAATGGATAGACCCAGCAGTGTCAGAATATTGAAGTTGAAACACAGTTAAGTCGGTAGAAGTTGGTAACTTGAAAGAGTAATATACAAGTATATCTATATATATTGTATATCTGAAGTTTATATATGATTTCCTGGACAAAATTCCAAGAGTTTGCCAGTTCAAAAGTATTAATTTGTGGACTTCATATCAATGTATAATGTTTTAAATTGTATGTTTTACAGTTGTGTGCATTACATTGTACTATGTATTTCATTGTATGTTTGTATCCATTACAATGCATTATAACTAGAACTCACGAGAGGATTTTTCACAAGGTTTGAAGCAAGACTTGCATTTTGGCAAATGGCGACATGATATTTAGCACACTGTTGCTCTAAATTCTGCATGCCCTTATGTCTGTATGTTTCAAGCAGACTTATTGAAAGACTGTTTTATGTCACCACCACGTGACGAGTCTGTGGCAAATGGCACACTGTTGCCCTAAATTCTGCATGCCCTTATGTCTGTATGTTTCAAGCAGACTTATTGAAAGACTGTTTTATGTCACCACCACATGACGAGTCTGTGGGAAATGGCACACTGTTGCCCTAAATTCTACATGCCCTTATGTCTGTATGTTTCAAGCAGACTTATTGAAAGACTGTTTTATGTCACCACCACGTGACGAGTCTGTGGCAAATGGCACACTGTTGCCCTAAATTCTACATGCCCTTATGTCTGTATGTTTCAAGCAGACTTATTGAAAGACTGTTTTATGTCACCTCCACGTGACGAGTCTGTGGGAAATGGCACACTGTTGCCCTAAATTCTACATGCCCTTATGTCTGTATGTTTCAAGCAGACTTATTGAAATACTGTTTTATGTCACCACCACATGACGAGTCTGTGGGAAATGGCACACTGTTGCCCTAAATTCTACATGCCCTTATGTCTGTATGTTTCAAGCAGACTTATTGAAAGACTGTTTTATGTCACCACCACGTGACGAGTATGTGGCAAATGGCACACTGTTGCCCTATATTCTGCATGCCCTTATGTCTGTATGTTTCTAGCAGACTTATTGAAAGACTGTTTTATGTCACCACCACGTGACGAGTCTGTGGCAAATGGCACACTGTTGCCCTAAATTCTACATGCCCTTATGTCTGTATGGTTTAAGCAGACTTATTGAAAGACTGTTTTATGTCACCACCACATGACGAGTCTGTGTCAAATGGCAAGTGATGACATTTTGCATGTTAATGGCTCCTTCACAAAATGCTACAAAAAGTTTTTTTTAATAGCTGCTGATTAAACAGATTCTTAGGCCTTTGTTTTAATTTATATATATTTTTGAAATGTACATGTGCGGTGTACAGTGTAATATTTGCATTTTTTCAGATAAAATCTCTTGTTCATCTTGCTCAAAATTAGTAACATATTACTATAATTGTTGGTGTGTGGGGGAGACTAAGGATTGTCTTACTTTGTGTAGAAATAAAGGGAGAATCAGATCCATCGGGAGTGACAAAACTTCAAGCAATATGTACAGTTGATCTACCAATGTATTCCACACAATCTCAAATATAACACCTCCCAAAATAAGAGATCTGCAATATCAGTGATCTCCCCAGCATTAAAGCAAGTGGGTGCAGCACCCACCTGAGATTCTGAAAACAGGCTTGCACCCACCGGAAAATCTATTTGCATTGCACTCACTTAAAAATGAGAAAAATCATGAAAACTGGCATATTTTGACCAATTTTGGTCTAAATTGTGAAAATGAGAATTTTGCACCCACCTGAGAAAAAATCCGGTGGAAATCATTGAATATGTTATTTTAATTGTCTATTTTAAAGTTTCAAAGTGCAAAAAAATCTCCCAAGAAGTAAGAATGGTAAATAAAGGCATTATTGTAAAAATCTTTAAATTCAAAAATTTCCTCAAATGTAGTACGCACTTTTGGCATTTTAGAAAATATACATAACAAGGAATGGTATGAGCCCAAAATATTCTAAAATTGAAACATTTTTTTGTCACAAGTACTATTAGATTTAAGCGTGTGCCATCTTGCTCAGTTGCTACTGATCTGATTCTGCCTTCAACTCTAAAAGTCCATATTTTATTTGAAAATGTCTTATGATTTCTTAAGATTGGGTTTTTAATGTGACATACACTCTAATGTATGTTTGTATGAAAGTGTACATAAAAGTAAATAAATATATTATATGTATATTAAGATTCAGAAACAGTGTTATTAAATGGTTGAAGATTACTCGTTGAATGTGACCATGGGCATTCAATAGAAGTGTGGAAAAGAATGTGTCTACGTTTTTGAAAATTGAATGAACAAAATGACATCAATTTACTTCCAAAACTATTTCTCAGTCCGTAGTCCTATGTCAGATCATTTTCTTGAAGTATGCTTTGAAGAAACAGAATCATTTTTTCATATTCGGCCTTTATATTTAACTTTCTCCTCTGAAAACATCTGAAGGACCGATTGCAGACTCTATTTCCACCTCCCCATGGAAAATTAAAATATAAATTCACCTAATGTTTTAAAATGAATGTACTCTTTTTTAAATATTACATTTATGTGTGCACTAGTATCTTGTTGATCTATATTCAGCACTTTATTGAGCATGGGCCTCTCATTAGTTCCATAATAATGAAGTGTGGAGGCAGATCAGCTTAACTTTTTTGATAGTCAAAATCCATTTGCATCCTATGTATCACTGCCTGTTATCCAAATATACCATATATGGTATATGAAAAAATGTATAATCTTTTAATTCAGTGACCTGAATGAAACTTGATATTTGCACATATGATGTAACCAATGGCCCCTGATGGGATATGATGACATCCCCATGTTAAGTCATTGGTGCACATCCCATGTTAAGTCAATATGCCCTTGCTGTATTATTTATTTAGCCTATATGTAAATGTATTCTTCTTGGTATTAGCTGAAAACAATGATTTCGGAAGAAATTTCACATAATACATATATATCTTTTGTTTATTATATTATTTAATTGCACACAAACTTTTACAGTTTATATAATTATTGGCCATTGGACACCTATACATTATTCTTTTCAAATTAAATTTTTCATAATTAATTTGTATAAGCCAAATATGAAAATAACATGTATGACACACATGGTCGATCTGTAGATTTACAGACTTAAAATCAAAAACATATGTGAACTCCAAAAATAAACTCCAGGGGCCTGTTGTATAAATCATTAATAAAGAAGATAATTATAGGGAAAGCTCCCGCATCATTGTGCATTTTTGAATTTAATGTTTGATAACATTGTGTATTGTACTATATGTTTGGTTACATAGTAAGTGCTTCAAAGTATATGAGGTATTTAGTGTATAGTGAGAAAATTACCTAAACAATGCCTAAATCAAACAGTTTGAATTACCAAATTTTAGTAACATCCCCATTATATAGAGCATTGACTTTATGGCTGGGGTTCTGATTCATCTTATCCTGTTACACTATTATTTTCCAATCGTGATCACCACAGTTTTTTCTTAACTTGAACATAAATGAATGATGATAAATTACATGATAATATCAAGATCTCCTTCCAGTAGACATAAAAGTGAATCTTATAGCTTATCTAGAGAAATATAGAAACTGGGTTATACTGACATGTTTAAATAGGTCACAAACAAACGTCAATGAAGTATTTTTACAGTAAAATAGTACCAATGTCATTTAAGGTACCATGATATACTGGAATGGTCTTTCACAAATAACTTTTCAATGTTCAGAAAGATGTCACTCCAATCCAATGTATGACTTTAAACTGTTCATAAAGATGTCACTCCAATCCAAAATGTAAATGACTTTGAACTGTTCATAAAGATGTCACTATGGTCTGCATCGTTCAATGAAGCGAGGATAAAGACAGACTTCTCTAATGTGTGGCCTGTTCAACATCCAGCAGAGGAACCTCTCAAGACCAAGTCCATAGCCGCCATGGGGACAAGTACCATACTTTCTCTGAAAAAAAATAAACACACAATATCACGGGGGTAAAGCAGACCCGATGATGCAATGAGCTTGCTCGGCGGTATCATGACTGTGTAACGGGTCTTAATGTATAAGTGTGCTCGGCGGTAGGTTCAAACAACGCGGATCCTCAAAGCATGTGCTCATGGTATATTTGTGTTTTAACACCCGTGAATATTAACCATGACAAAAGTTGTCACCAACAAAAAGTGAATAAGTTTATTAATTTGATTCAAACCACGGTGCTGAACACAAATCAGTGAAAATGAGGTTTACATAATCTCCTTGGTAGCGACAACAGAGAAGCTTCAATAAAGATTTTTGACTCAATGGCATTTAGTATCCCTTTCAAAACTGACACATCAACAACAGACAAAGATTCAGCCAGTTACAGAATAACTTACAGCTTATTCTAAAAGATTAATGCAAGAAGCCGAACAGGCCCGGGGGGTGGGGTTAAGCCAATTTTTTTCAAAATTATGAAGTTTTTCACCATTCTGAGCACCTTTCAAGTGATTTTAGGCTAAGTTCTCTAATGTGAGTCCCAATGAATTTTTGGTAAAGTGAACCCTCCTTGACCTTGGCTACAGGCCTACCAAAGGCAAATATATGCAAAATGTTACTGAAATACTGAACCTACCTGGTCTGTGTACCAGTAGTATGGAGATGGATCAATCCCTTCACGTTTGTAACCTTCTTCTAGTTCTTCAGCGTTGTCCATCCTCATGGAGCCACCAACGATCTCACCTACACCAGGCATCAAGAGATCCACCTATAAAAAATGAAACATAGCATCAATTACCCAAATGTGAGTAGGTAGTTACCAGTTTCACCACCAGGTGGCTGATTCGGGTCAATTAACATGGCAGGCATATAAGAAAGTTCCCTTAAACTTGAATATTATCAATTTAAAAGGCTCAATTTTAATATAACCCTTATGTGTCTGATACTTATACCAAAGAAAATATGTCCAGTAAAGCAAAATATTATACTGTATGTCCACTAAAAGAAAAAATATTTCATTTTTTGTGATTTTATAGCATGGGGTCTATGGGGAATCTCCCTGAGCTAGAAGTCACATTTTCAAAGAAAATTAATTTTTCAAAGTTGATAAACACTTTTTAAAACCACATTTATAGATGTAATTTTACATGTAGATTTCAAATATGATATATTACTTTGACTGAATTTTGAATTTTTAATGACGTAAATCAAGATTATTTCTACTCGCATCTGGGTTATTCCAACTAGTCAACAAATTGATTGGATTAGTGGTTCTCCAGGAATTTTGATGACACGATTCATGAAAATTTCAAAATATGCAGATTTATAAAAGAATTGAAAATAGCCAACATGAGGATTACCCAGCATGCCCAAAAACTTAATCAGGTGTTGGGAATAACTAATCTGTCAATGATTACACAAACTACAAATAAAATGAAACTTACAGATTCTGTAACCCTCCTGTCGTCTTTACATTTCTGCATGTAAAATGATTTGATTTCTGCTGGGAATCGGCAAAATAATATTGGTTCATTTATTTTGTCTGTCATTTTTCGCTCTGGAGCTTCTGGTATATCCTAAACAAATAAAACAAATGATAAATATTATATTTGACTATACTATGAATTAGAATATAAGTATGACATAATGGTTATATTTTGATGGAAAATGAAAATGAAGCGAACTCTTAATTGTATAGAAAAGCAAAATATCAGTTGCTTTATTCTAATTGGACAAAATCATGACATAAGCTACAAGAAATTAAGAGTTTTAAATTTAAGAGAAAAAGGGTAGAATATGCATTTACATGTTATTTATTATAATGTATTTATCATTTTCTACTCAGACCATTCATGATAGTGTGTTTGTATCTCGTATGATTATAAATGATGTGGACTTATCTTATAAACTGCAAACATAACCTACCTCTCCAAATTCGTAAAATGTGCCATCGTCTTTCGTAATGTTGTTTTCTTTAAGGTATTTCACCCCATCAGCATATGTTAGTCTCTTAAAAGGTCTTTTTGGGGGTTGGAAGTTCTGAAATTATATGTATAAAGTTTTATTTCAAAACTGAACAATCTGCTGAACCAATATTGCGTAAGCTTACCATTGATAGTTCAATGTTTGACATCAAGTAACTTATTCTGAAGTAACTATGATGTTTATAGGAAATCAAGTCAAAATAGAAACAATATTTCTATTTCCAGTGGATCACATTTTAGGCATATTTTCACTAAACCATTGACTAACCTTGTACCATGAGGTGCAGTGCCATATCTGTGCATCGTGGATTTTCGCCATTTGATTCAAAATGAAGCCAACAGTTATAAATTGGTGAGTCATTTGGGAATTTTGATTTGAATCAGTTATTCTTAAGCAGTAAGCACGCTTTAACTTAAAAAGCCTGCACATTTTGATGACAGGATTTTTGTGTCTCCACCCGCATGCCCATCATCCATTTCATCACAGGATGACAAAAATATAACAATTTGAAAAGTGTGATAAAAATGTTAAACACTGAACATGTACTTACGGGGTTGAGATCATAAAGCAGTTGCTTTAATGGAGACTGTAAGACTCTCTCTATGACATTACATACAAGATCTTCTAGAGTGTCTAAGAGGTCATCAAATGTAATGAATGGACGCTCAGCTTCAATATGCGTATACCTTAACATAGAGAAAGATAACAATTAAGGTAGTTCCAAACTTGAAAACATGATTGCATAATTGAACATACAGTTAAACCTGTCTTAGTGGAACACCTTTGGTACCTTTAAAAGTGTTTCACTTTGGTACCGAGTTCCACTTGGGAGGTGTTCCACTTATAGAGGCTCATTTAATATTTAGTCAGTTGGTCTTGGGTCTCTAAAGTGTCTCTAGAGGTGTTCCACTTTACAGGTTTTACTGTACTGGCATTAAGTTCAATAGAAAACTCATTTTTCCTAGTTCATTACCAAGAAAGGTAACTGCCACTGGGAACTCTATAATCTTTTAGCACCTATATAAAAACTTAATTTACGAGGCAACACATCTGTCTGCTTAGGCTGTTTTGCAACATTTTTCACAAAAATTTGAATTAAATGTATGATTTTGTTGCATTTTATTTCTATATTATTTAGAATGTTGGCTACATGGCTTTTAAACCTCTTTCTTTGTCACTCTCTTTTTCATTTCAAAACATGCCCATCTCAAGAACTGGACTTACTCTGCTAAATGCCTCCTGGTTCTTGAAAGTTCAGCTCTGTAAGATTCTGCGATACAAAAAACATCTCCTAGAGCGGGTAAACATGTCTCTAAGTAAAGCTGGGATGATTGTGTCAGGTATGCCTAAAACAAAACAAAAACATATTTCCAGATTAATAAACATATATTTCTCTTACAATGCAGGATATGTGGCCATACTATTTTGGTTGGTGAAATATGAAATAAATTAGTTTTTAATGTTTATTGGATCATTATCACATGAATTTCTAGTTGTGGTTAGTTAGTGAGTGAGTGAGTGAGTGAGTGATTGAGTGAGTGAGTGAGTGAGTAAGTAAGTAAGTAAAATCTTGGCACTTTAAGTCTGCTCTCTTTTAATAACTTTAAGTTAAACAAATAAGCAGTTTTACAAGACATAATTCATACTTACTGTTTCTCCAAAATAATCAAACTTGAATAAAGTAGATCCACCCTCGACCTGAGTTTGAACCATACATGGTGGGGTCACCTGGTAAAATAGGACAAAGAAGAAATAAGGTGGTATTCTCCATTAAGCGGTGATATCACCACTCTGATACAAGTTTCACCGCTCACTTTAGATTAGTGCCACCCAATTTGTAAAACATCACGATTATTTTGTAGGACACTTACCATACCATTTTTACATAAATATTGATCAAATTTTTCCAACACTTAGTTTGCGAAAAAATGTGTAGAATAATAATGCTGTTTTAGTGAACTAATTCATTTCTAAATATAGTTTTTAGTTTCATTTTTTTAATTTCTCTATACATTTCATTTTTCAATGTTCCATTGATGAAAAAAGTACCAAAAATTGTCAAGTGAAAATGTGAATGTGAAACATCAAAGAGAAAAAATGAACATGAAAGTGAAATGTGAGACTTGAAAGCAAAATGTGAATCGACATGTGAACGCCTTTCATCTATATATTCACTTTAAAAAAAAGCTTGGTATAATTGTAATATTTCTAACTGAACTCACCTCAAAATATCCTTTATTGAAAAAGTGGTCCCTAAAGCACTGCATTGTAACTGAGCGCATTTTGAGAATCTTTGCAGTCTAAAATACAAATTCATACGTTGGGTTAAATATAAATTCAAATGTAATGCAATATGTGGACTGATTTAAAAGTGATAAGAATGACTTCTGTTACACTAGTTGTGAATTTTAGAGTTACTGATATATAGAAGTACACAGTGTTTAAATACAAATAACAAATTCATTCTCAAATCAAAAAATACCTACAAAATTGTTAAGTTTTTAACACTTCAATTTAGAACTCAACTTAATACAAGTATATAGACCTTAAGATATGGTGCTCATGGTAAGCATGACTTTCATTGTATGGAGGACAATCCTGTTCACATTACAATGATTTTTCTGCATTAACCAATCAGAACACAGCGATTCCAACAATGATATTATAATTTTGTTTATTCTTACGTTTTCTCCTCTGATCATCATATGTCTGTTGTCCAGCTGAACATCTACATGTGCTTCCTTGAAAAATTAACAGTGAATTTCAAAGACTGTACAACATATTGAAAATGAAGGTTGAACCTGACTGCTCAACAGTTATCAGTTGACAGATAGAGATTTTAGGGTGGAAAAACTGCCTTAAAATTTACACAGCAGGATTGAAAACTAAGAAGTTAGATCAAGGAGTCTAAAATTGCCTCATTAAGTCTTGTTAAAAACATCAACTACTACCACATTGCATCTCAATAAAAATGTAACCTCATTGAGTCAGATAATTACCTCATTGAGTCAGATAATTATCTCGTTGAGTCAAATAATTACCTCATTGAGTAGGTTATCAGCGCCACCTGGAGGAGCAAGTCCAACAAGTTCCCAATAATCTGCTATCAACTCGTGACCATCGGGGGCAGTTTTCCCATCGGGTAGGACTTTAATTGTACCATAGACACAAATACTAGACTCTGTAGAGAGAACTAGCGCATTGTATGTCTGACACTAAAACATAAAGTGAAACAATTAAAGCTTGGATATTTCTTCTACTATTTCCTAGAGCCTCATACAAAGCAATGGCAATACATCCTATTGGTGTGATCTTGTATAGGGGCTAAAATTTGCCTCGCCTGTGATAAAGGTTAATTGCCTCGCCTATATCTATATATTTTATTTAGGTTTGCCTCTACATACGTATGTAGTAGAATCTGAACTGAATTACTTATTACTCATTCCACTGAATGTACTACTATATATTCATAAGCATCATGAATGAAAAAAATAAACCAGGCTACAGAAAGACCAAGTCATATACTTACTAATTTGTCATTGAGAACACACTGGATGTACCCTGTTCCATCTCTCAGTATGATAAACATGAGTGATTTCCCCTGCCTTCTACATCTGTGAACCCAACCAAATATCTTAACACGCTTGTCACGGTTTTCTTTGCTGTCTCGTAGCTTTATCTACAATATACAGATATGGCACTCAAGAACACTTTTTGACATTTTTCTTTGATTTCATAGTATTCTAGAACTCTATATTTGTTTCAAAAATTTATTTTATTATCTTCGGCTGCATCTTTTACAGGCATAGTCCTGGACAACCAAAAAGAGACTGACATGGGTTCTTAGACTTTCAATAGTACCAATACATTCAAGGGTACTGACACATTTTTTGGCTCTGATATATTCAACGGACTGACAAATTCAAGGGACTGACATAAGCACCTTCACATCAAAGGGATCTTGCATATTCAAGGGTACCAATACATTCAAGGGGATTGACACATTTGGACAGACTAGTACTAACAAATTGCGGATACCTACACATTTATTGGTACTTAAATTAATACATTCAACAGACTGATATATTCAAAAATAGTAACACATTGAATGGACTATCACATATTCAATGACACTTTTATATTCAAGAGGATTGACTAGTGTCACAATCAAGGACTATAGTACTATCAAATTCAAAGGTACAAACACATTTGTGGGTACATACTATCAAATTCAAAGGTACAAACACATTTGTGGGTACATACTATCAAATTCAAAGGTACAAACACATTTGTGGGTACATACTATCAAATTCAAGGGTACAAACATATTTGTGGGTACATACTATCAAATTTGAGGGTACAAACACATTTGTGGGTACATACTATCAAATTCGAGGGTACAAACACATTTGTGGGTACATACTATCAAATTCAAGGGTACAAACACATTTGTAGATACATACTATCAAATTTGAGGGTACAAACACATTTGTGGGTACATACTATCAAATTTAAGGGTACAAACACATTTGTGGGTACATACTATCAAATTTAATGGTACAAACACATGTGTGGGTACATACTATCAAATTCAAGGGTACAGACACATTTGTGGGAACATACTATCAAATTTAAGGGTACAAACACATTTGTGGGTACATAATCATATACCTGAGTGGCTGCTGGGAGGCTGGTATCTTCCTCAATAACAATCTTTTTTGCCTCTTCCAAGTTCTTGTCCCTACGTTCCGCATCTTCAGCCTAATAGAAAAACGAATACATGTACATACATGTATATATCTTAAATCAGTATCTATACAGTACTGACACAGAGATAGAAATTTGTAAGAAAAATAATATTACATCAAACACAAGAAAATGTTTTTAGAAATAGATCTCCAAAGAATTAATCTTTTGTTTTTTGAAATAATTGTATGTTTGACTTTATCGTGCTATATATAAGACATCAAATCAATAATAAGATCTACCGCATTCGTATAATATATTTATTTCTAATAATCTATTTAAATTGAAAAACAGGTTGCATTGTACTTAAAATTTTCAAAATGATAACATTGCCCAAAATTCTACACTTAAAATTCCTCTACTCTACCTCTTTTTTCAGTCTATCAGCAGCTTTGTGTTGCTCCCGTTGAAAGATCTTTGTTAACTTTTTTATTTGAGCTTTAGCGGCAACATCATAGTCCCGTGTTAGCTCTTCCCCTTTCTCTCCTTTTGCGTCAACAAAGATTGCGGGAAAAGGTTCCTTCCCAGCATGCCTCATTGCCTGCAGAATTGTCTTGAATGGCTTCCCTTCGGTTCCATCGCCAGATTCATCGCAGCCTTTTTTCTCGGATGTATAGAGTTCACCTGAAGATGGCAGCATGATAATATAAATCATTTTTGTAACAGCTAGAATCAAGAGACTTTTGATGCATTGATGATGTGCAATGTTTCAACTTTGAGAAGACTAAGATTATGTAACTCAATATTGATTTGGGTAAGCTTTATTGCTGAAACTGCCTCACATTACGTAAAAATATATTTCCTACAAGAAACAGAATTGTTCAATGGTCACTTTTTCTTTAATAACTTTTTTAATTTTCAGTATTATCAAAATCTGATTACATATTTGAAAACTAGATTAAAATTCTGACATACAAAAAACATATTTAAGGAACATCTCTTAATTTAATGATATTATAGGCATTCATAGTATGACTGACGCAAATACATAATTCATCATTTTGCCTATATTTGTTCAAAATGGCGGCATATTTTGTGAATTTGAATGTTCAGTTGAAGGTTGATATTTAAAGATTGTCACAGGACTATAGGGCCATGCTGCCACTGTTACAATCCTGATGTAATGCAGCAACTGAGCAATCATCAAATACAAGAAGTCAACTCCCTCCAAGGGTATATGAAATCAACTCTATTGGAAATTGTTCGGGGCTGTGTTCAAGAGGATGTGAAACAGTGGTGCCTAAATGTGTGGGGTGTGAAGAGAGTAGGTCCTCAATCAAGAGCTCCAAACAGCCATCTCAGAGGCCATTGAAAAGCTGAAGAACAATTCACATGCGTGCCAAGGATGGGTTAAGAGGCATGTGACTGGGAAAGACATTACAAACTGTGGCAGTATGACTTATTTTGAGGTTTGATTGAAGAATAGTTTGACAACATGAAGTAACAGTGTCAAGATATAGGGACAGAAAATATTCTAGCATAGTAAGAGCATTCAATATACAGTTAGCAAGTGTAACACATGCCTTGAGTTCATTGATTTTCTCCCTATATCATGACATGTATAACATGAAGACCTGTTTTCAAGATGGCGGATGAAAGGGAACCCCCTCATAACTTTCTGGTCTGGTGCTGGAGCCCGGATGTGTATCAATAGATGGCTCTGGAAGTTATTGAGGAGGTTCCCCTTCCACCATCTTGTAAAACTGGTGGAAATCTTAATGAGGAAAGAAGATTTCCTTGTTCTGCCGATGAATAAATAATTGAGGATTCAACTACCCATAAGAATCCTAAAATACCCAGTAATGTATTACTTGTACAGTGGGAACATAAAGAATTACTATAGCTCCGTAAATGACACGCTGTCGCACATGTAATAAATTCTTACCTCAGTGTATTCAGGGCTCTATTTTCTCCGTCCTAGTAAGTTCAGATATAGTGGAATTTGTGACCATAATGACAAATAAGAATTTAAAGATTTGAAGTGGATATCCACATGTTAATGCCGACTCTTCAAATGTTGAGGTGATTTTGGAGCCCGATTACGCCGCAATGGGGATTGGCTCCCAGAATGCAATATGACATGTGCCACATTTCAAAATATAGCAATAGGTCCCAAATTCGATCCCCGGTTCAGGCAAGACTAAATTTGCTTGTCTGCGTGAAGTACTTCAGGGTGTTTGACTTTTTTTTTTTTTCATGTTATCAATTTATTTCTAATATAAACATTTACATTCAATTACAATTACTAATTGCCAAGGTTTTTCAACATTAGCGGCAATTTAATATATATATTATATATGCATGTAGATATTAGATAATGAAATAGGAAAAATTTGTTTAGGTTATTTCAAAATACCTGAAGGTTATCCCATGGGCCGGGATGTTAACAGAACTTGAAAAATAAGTCGGTCATTGCAGAAAAAGGACTTGTCAAATTACTACTAGATAGATAATAAAACAAGACTTGTATGTATATAATAGCTAACAATATGAATTAAAGCTTCATTCATAGTAACATCCAGGTTAGTGTTTCCAAACAGTAAAAATTGTAATTTGTCATTCAAGTTGTAATTATTAAACAAGTCGCATAAATTGTAAGTACGAAGACCTGCGATGAGGTTGTTTCTTTCATTTTGTAGCAGTGGGCATTTTAAAAGAAAATGCATGGTTGTCATTGGTACACCACAATGGCACAAAGGGTGTTTGACTGAGTGTTCCACAACTCGTACAAAAAGGCTGTGGTGTGTACTTGTATGTCTATGTATAAGTGCACATAAAAGAACACAGGGGTCCTTCAAGGAGGGGTTTCCATGTTAATTACGTAAATTACGACCGTATATATGGGACATACCCGAGAGGTATTGCTCACCTTCAATGGTAAACAAAAAAAGAAGAAGAAATGGGATAAATTTCGAGGGATGAATGTTTCCAATGTGTCACTTATAACACAGATTCAAAAAGTATGGACCAGCTCTACATTGAGAATCATGGTAGTTGTGAATCTGATAACGTTGATATGCCAAAACAAAACAAAATATGGACAACCAAGTCCAAGAATCAAAAATAAACTAAAAAAAATCACACGTGTCAAAAAGCCATGATAAACCAAATAAATACTCACTCAAACTCATCTTTTCTAGAGCCTCGGCTGCCTCTGCCATTAGTATTAAGTCTTCAAGAATGTTTTAAACAGTTTTGATGTTTACTTGATGATAAATCGAAGGTTTTCTGAGCGATTTTTCAGCAGATTTCCTGCCGGTTGCATCAGGGTTACCGTAAGTGAATAAGAGATAATTGTCGCCAATACAATTTAATTAAATGTTTCAAACCAAAAACATATGATCTTTCGAAGTGCTTTAGTATTTATGATATTGAATATTGTCCGAATAATTTATTTACATTGATCGAGAGATTATCTTCCGGATTAATACATAGTCGTAAACAGGGGTGAGTTTTCTTCTGTGTTTAACGTCGCAAACTAGAGCGATTTGGACAATGAGCTTTCGCCCACGATAGTGCCCACCAAGATGTGGCGTGATAACCTCGCGCGTATCAAGATTGATCCATTGGATTCTCGAAAAAATTGTACTACCCTTGAGAAAATTACTTCTTATTTCATTATTATTGGGAGATATATAGAATGTTATATACGAGCATGGAGCTATTGAAATTGGGTTTCTAAATCATTAACATTCGTAATATAGTATTCAACTATAACACAAATATCATTGTTTAAAGACGAGAAATCAAATTCGCCGACATGTTTGTTTACATTGACAACACTTACTTTAACGATAAATTAGACCCCTTTAACATGAAAAAATAATTTCAATCTTTTTTGATTCAGAAAGCCCACATCATAAGCTTATTTTTTCGCTAAATAATAATAGTATTCGTCTCCTAGTTTTCTTCATCCAGCCAATAACAAAATTATTTTTCGATTTTCCGGCATTTTGTATTGGTCTTTGACGGAGAATTAGAAGTACCTTCTTTAGGTTGAATCGGCCAAAACATACTGTAATACATTGGAAACAATCACAATCGCGATAACATGAATGAAATTCATCATAATATTCAAGGTACACGACGAAAAATATCAATTGCGTACATTATCGGACAGACTTTTCGTTTGCCGTCAGGTTCGTTTTTCACAATAGGGTTGTCCATTGGATGCGTTTTCGTCTAGTGTGTATATGACGTTTTTACCGGGGATAAACAAGGAGTATGAACTAGATGGATCCATTGGTCTCTCCAGTCTTTTGAATGAAAAGTGAAATATCAAAGGATGTAACTTATTACTATTCTGGATGAGTATATGCTGATTTTTTCTATATTTAACTGATCCGCCCTTTATTCTCAGGTTATCCAATATCCATCTACACTCCACTCCAAGTTTTGCAAACTTCCCTATTAGATTACTCTATGGTTGATTTTTAACATAACATGCAATGAACACTTTAAATAAGCAATGCGACACTTTAAATAAGGGTGCCATTGTTTACTAGCTAAGTCTTCAGTTCAATTTGTGGATATTCTCATACCTCATATGTTATCTTGAGGGATATGTTTCTTGAAAAAGCATAGTTTTGACTTTGGAGACATATAACTTTATACAAGAACACAAATGTGTACAAAATGTCCCCACCAATGGGTGATCCCATGAAATGGTTATCCTGAAAATGAGTAGACAAGACTTAACCAACACAATTTTAATTGATCCGTCACACAGTTAACTAGAAAACATGTAAACAAGACTTTACAGACAAGATTTTAGGATGGAAAATCCAAAATGGCTGCCTTGACATTTACCCAGAATGTCAAAAAACTAATCTGTTCCTAGATTTTCATACTAAGAATCATCCCTGAAAATATGACATTGATCTACCAAATGGTTCACCTGAAAACGCGTAGACAAGACTTTACAGACAAGATTTTAGGACAGAAAATCCAAAATGGCTGCCATGACATTTACACAGAATGCCAAAAAACTAATCAGATGTAGATTTTCACACTAAGAATCATCCCTGAAAATTTGAAATTGATCTACCAAACGGTTCACCTAAAAACGCGTAGACAAGACTTTACAGGCAAGATTTTAAGACGGAAAATCCAAAATGGCTGCCTTGACATTTATCCAGAATGCCAAAAAACTAATCAGATCTAGATTTTCATACTAAGAATCATCCCTAAAAATTTGAAATTGATCTACAGAACGGTTCACCTGGAAATGCATAGACAAGACTTTACAGACAAGATTTTAGGACAGAAAATCCAAAATGGCTGCCTTGACATTTGCCCAGAATGCCAAAAAACTAATCAGTTCTACATTTTCATACTAAGAATCATCTCTGAAAATTTGAAATTGATCTACCAAACGGTTCACCTGAAAACGCGTAGACAAGACTTTACAGACAAGATTTTAGGACGGAAAATCCAAAATGGCTGCCTTGACATTTACCCAGAATGCCAAAAAACAAATCAGATCTAGATTTTTATACTAAGAATCATCCCTGAAAATTTGAAATTGATCCACCAAACGGTTCACCTGAAAACACGTAAACAAGACTTCACAGACAAGATTTTAGGACGGAAAAATCCAAAATGGCCGACAATAAAAAAGTGATTATGTGTTTTTGCTGATTTCTTCTTACAAAATTATCACATATTACTACTGTTAACAATAACATAGGCTTTTACAACAAAGTAGATCTGAAATTATTTATAAAGCTACTAAATAGTTAAAGTATGATAACTCAAAAACACCATTCAATATGATACAAAGTATTATCGTGCGCTAACTTTTCTTAAGACATTCAAAATGGCTGACATGACTGAGCTAACAGGTCCAAAACCTAATCAGATCTAGAATGAAGTGAGCTGAACAAGATGTTAAAGTTTTAAAAGCAACTGTGAAGCCGTTTTTCTTAAAGTTTGCAGACAAGGATTTTAGCATTTGACTTCAAAATGGCCGACAGGAAGTAGGTATAGAGTTAAAAATTTTTCATCCACATCTGTATGCACTCATAAGTTATCCCTGAAAATTTGAAGGTGATATCTGTAGCGGTTTTGGAGAAAACTCCCGGACGTACGGACAGACGGACGGACGGACGGACGGACGGACGGACGGACAGACGGACGCGCCTAGGCCGACAATATGGCCCCACACTATGTGGTGGGGACATAAAAACCTGAAAAATTATATCAATTTTTTTTAAAAAATAAAGTTTGTTAAAACATTTTTGGTTTACATCTGGATGACAATTTTTAAAAATGAATTTAATTTGCCATCGATTTTCAATCTTTTGTATATAAAATGAGAAAAAATGAAGTTATACTAGGAAATTATATCAGTTTAGATTTCCAGCCCAAGCAGTTGTTCAAATTAAAGCCAAACTTTTGAAGGGGAGTGTAAGTCTTGGCAGCACTTTGGTTTTGATTATCATCTGATTTTACAAGCTGATTTTACTATCTTGTCAGTTGTCATTGTCACTATATCTCTGTTATAATGATGTAAGTGTAAAAACAATCATTTTACAAGTTTTTAAGGTTAAAGTTCCACTTCTTTATTTTTCTTTATTTTGATTATTCCTCACATAGGTAAAGGTAGAATCAGATCAAGCAACAAACAATCTTTACTTATATTGTTTCAATTCTAGAATATATTTGGGTTGCATATGTATCTCACACTTTATTCAAGGAAAACTAAGATTATTACATACAGAGTGAGCCAAAAAAAGGTAACCCAAACAAATGTATGTAAATAACTCAGTCATTCAGCATGGGTTCAAAATCATATTTGGCACAACTAAACCTTAATCAATGTCATTGGTCTGTCCCTTAGAGTCACGATTTTATGGTCATCTACAAAACATGGTCCAAATGCCGAAATGACTGACTGGACATAAATCCCACCAGCTTTTTATCTTTGGGTCTATTTTTTCTACACTAACAACCCTTGAAACATTGAAACAAGAGATAAGAAGGAAGATGAGAGCCATAACACAAAATGTTTATGCTTGTGTTGTGAACAAGACTACGCCCAATACGTTCAAGATGGCCTCCAGACTTGACGCCCATATTTTATGGCATGTTTTGTAAAATGGCCATAAAATCATGACCACTAGAGATACAACCAGAACAACGGCAACGCCAAAGCGTAGCGAATACCACCGAACACCCATGGATGGCATTTTTACAAACAAAGTATATAGCAAAAATGGCAGCCATTTTTCAAAATGGCCGCCTTCTACCAAAAGTGTCATTAGACCATGTGCCATACTTATAGTATTCACATACCAAATATGAACAAAATCACTCCACTACTTTTCAAGTTATAGTAATACTTTAAAATGGTGGCCATTTTTCAAAATGGCCACCTTCTACCATTAGACAGTGTGCCGTGCTTATATTTAATTTAATTATTTATTTACCTGTATTTAAACAGAGTGGTTTTACAAACATATTTACATTTGGTAACATCACACAATTAAATAAAAAGCTTCCATTTTAAATGGATGAATACTGTTTATGTTTTATAGGACATTGGTTCTTTCAAGAGTGTCTTTATAATGTAATAATCAACTGTCCAACGTTTTCTTTCAGAATGTTTGATATAGTATTCACATACCAAATATAAACAAAATCGCTCCACTGCTTTTCGAGTTATAGTAAAATATGTTAAAATGGCGGCCATTTTGAAAAATGACCGCCTTCTACCAAAAGTGTCATAGGACAGTTTGTCATGCTTATAGTATTCACATACCAAATATTAACAAAATCGCTCCACTTCTTTTCGAGTTATAGTAAAATACGTTAAAATGGCGGCCATTTTGAAAAATGGCCGCCTTCTACCAAAAGTGTCATTTAACAGTGTGCCATGCTTATAGTATTCACATACCAAATATGAACAAAATCGCTTTACTACTTTTCGAGTAATAGTAAAATACGTTAAAATGGTGGCCATTTTTCAAAATGGCCACCATCTACCAAAAGTGTCATAGGACAGTGTGTCATGCTTATAGTATTCACATACCAAATATGAACAAAATGGCTCCACTACTTTTTGAGTTATAGTAAAATACGTTTAAATGGTGGCCATTTTTTAAAATTTTACATATTGCACCTAAATTACTGTAAATTCGGCACTAAAATGGCCGCCATTTTGAAAATCGGCTTTCAAGCAGACATTCTACTCCCATAGGGTATATGTGTACAAAATATGAACAAAATCGGGCCAACGGTATTTGAGTTATTGCCCGGACGGACGGACGGACGGACAGATGGACGGAGGCGCTCCCTATATCCCTCCGAACTTTGTTCGATGGGATAACCACTGAAAACTTGGTATACTAATACA